TCATTGGCAACAAATGCCATCAGGTGTTTCCGTTCAAGTGCTAGGCTCACTACATTCAGTTTTTAGGAAATGTCTGCCCCAAACCCAAGTCTGAATAACCATAGGTGTCTGTCACTTATTCTTTCAAGTCAAAATAACATCCCGTTGGGGCACCTGAGTGGCTTAGTCAGTTAAGTGTCCAACTTCGGCTCAGGTCATGATCTCATGGTTCTTGATTTCAGGCCCCACATCGGGTTCTCTGCTGTCAGCCCAGAGCCTGCTTTGGATCCTCTGTCCCCCTCTCTCTCTGCCCCTGCCTCGCACCTTCTCCAAAAAAAAAAAAAAGTTCCATTAAAAAGGGCTAGTTCAAAACTCATGAGTTAAGTAATCACACAAATGCTCACCCTCAAGACAATCTTTATACCCTGCCTGTAGCAGCAGTGTGTTGTCACAAAGAATATTAAAAATATCCAAGAGACATGTACTCAAGGGCCAACAGATTTATTAACAAAATTATACTTGTTACTGCTTCATCAAGGGTATTAAGTGATAAATGAGTGTGGTTTTGGTTAGTTTCTATGGTGATTGCTTAGGAGTGAAAACACATGCTTACAGGTGGTCTGGGGCCCAGGCTTTCGATTACGTTCTGGGTTGTGCCCCGGGGGGTTTTACCCACCACTGCTTTCGCACCATCAGGGCAAGTGTCAACACAGAGACAAAGGATCAATTATGTTATGTCTCTGTGTGATTATGGAGATCCTTCTGAGCTCACAGACTTCCCACCCCCACTCCAGGGTCTGTGAACCTCGATCTGCCAACTGCTGTCCTAGAGGCACCCAGATGGACCGAGACGCCCCTGGTGTTCATGGCGACACTGCTCCTAAAGCCCCGAAATGCCCGTCAAAAGAAGGATGAACCAAGATGTTACCGTGCGGCCAAACATACTATCCAGCAAAGGAAAACAAGCTCGGGAGAGCTCCATGAGACCAGTGGTCCTGCTGGTGTCACCTACTAAGTGACTTGTCGGGAGTCACTTTGTATCATTTTATGTCCTTAATGAACATACTGATAAAGCATCCACCGTGCCAGTAATTTTCTAAGTGTGTTTGAGTTACAATGGTCCACAAGGGATAAATAAATCATTCTCCCGAGTAGAAGCTATTACTGAAAAGCAATTCGGGAAGTCGTCAGAGATCGACCTTGGATTGAGATGATCTTTTCTCTCTACGCCGCCAGCATGTTTTCGTACGGACCCTCTCAGCTCCTCAGTCGCCATCGGGCACCCCCTTTTCAATTGCTGACGGCTGTCCACAATTTTGTCCTTGGCCCCCTTCTCTCCTTACCTCACATAATCACTGGGAGATGGCTCCACACTGAAGAGTTCCGCCTCTGACCACTCACTCGTGGCCTACAAATCCCTCTCCCCAGCTCCCTAAGACCCACACCCCTACACCCGACTGTCCGATGGACATCTCCCCTTAGATTCCCTGTGGGCAGCTCTCACCCTGTACGTCCACGGCTGAATTCTTCACCTTCTTCCTAAACCTGCTCTTCTCTCCTCACTGTCCACTTCCCCCGTCTGCTTCTGTCACACGCGACGTCCTACCTCATTCCCATCTCAGTGCCCTTTCCCTACATTCGCGTCTGAGTGAGTCACCTACGCCGGTGGATGGGAACTGCCTTTAGGCCTCTTCTCCTCTAACTGGGCCGTGAGGACAAAGACTAACTCTGGATGTCAGGGCGCCTCTGTATTCATTACACAGCAGGCAGGCGATGAAACGTTTACTGCATGAAAGAAATACAGGATTTTACAGAACTTCTCCTTCCGGCTTCCTTTAGGAGAAGGTGAGTCAACGGGTTCTTTTGATTTTTTTAAAATAACATTCAAGAGGGGCACCTGGGTGGCTCAGTCGGTTAAGCATCCGACTTCAGCTCAGGTCATGATCTCGCGGTCCATGGGTTCAAGCCCTGCGTCGGGCTCTGTGCTGACAGCTCAGAGCCTGGAGCCTGTTTCAGATTCTGTGTCTACCACTTTCTCTGACCCTCCCCTGTTAATGCTCTCTCTCTCTCTCTCTGTCTCAAAAATAAATAAATGTTAAAAAAATAAAATAAAATAACATTCAAGAAATAAAAGAATACGTGCTCATTGTAGGGATTTTTTAAAACCCCAATATGCAAATGACATGCAATTTTACCATCAAGAGATGTATTTATTTCCAGCGTTCTCCTACGTGCATGCACGCACATATACACACATGCATACATGTGGTTACAAAACTGAGATCAGTGTTGAAACTGTGTATACGGTTGGCATGTGTTGAGATCTTTTGGTCTCTGTGCTTTTATCTGTTTCAGTTTTCAGTATCCTATAGACTTCATTTAAATGATTTTGTCTGAGTTATTCATTACCTAATATGTCTGGCCTTGCTCAGAATGGAACTCTGGTCTGAGATGACCACAGAGTCCCCACCGGCTGCAGGGTGAGGCCCCTCAGTTATGCATCCTGCTTGTTCTTTTTGACATTATGTCACGAAAATCATCCCCATCATTCAGTGCTCTTGAACTGCCATTTTAATTGGCTACATGTCTGTAGAGCAGTCCCTGTTTGGGACATACCAATAATTAGCCTACTGCTGCATATTTATATTTCCCCCCCAGTGAAAACTGTTACGAATGATACTCAACATCTCTGCATGTAAGTTTTGGCTGAATTCCTAGTCCCCGAGGAAAGATTCCTAACAGGTAATCTCACCTTCCCAAGGTCTTTACTCAAACATCATCTTTTTTTTTTTTTTTAAACTTTTAAAAAATGTTTATTTTTGAGAGAGACAGAGAGACAGCTCAAGTAGGGGTGGGGCAGAGAGAGAGAGAGGGAGACACAGAATCCAAAGCTGGCTCCAGGCTCTGAGCTGTCAGCACAGAGCCCGATGCGGGGCTCGAACCCAGACTGTGAGATCATGAGATGAGGTGAAGTCGGTCGCCTAACTGACGGAGCCACCCAGGCACCACAAGCATCATCTTAATGAGGCCCTTCTTGGCCACTCTGCCTTAAAAAAAAAATGGCCCCTGCTCTCCTGCTATTCCACATTCCCCTTTCCTGCCGTTTTTCTCCTTAGCACTTCTCCCGTATGACATGCCACCATGGAGTACATTATGCCAATTGTCTGCTGTCCCCGCTAAAACACAGAACAGACCCTAGGACAGGGAATTCAGGGGATTTTGTCCAGGGCTCTGTCCCCAGCACACAGGGCAGGGTTTGGCTCATGCCGGGTACTCAGGGGTAGTCTTTTCTTGAATGAATCTAGACAATGTATATATTATCACCCAATTGCTTTTCTGAAAATTCTGAAGCTTCCTCCAGCGAGCAAAACAACAGAGTCCTGTTTCTCTATACCCTCAACACTACTGAGTATCTTCGCTTTGAAAATCTTTAACAATGTGATGGGAAAAGAATATGTTAAACTGGGTTTTCTTGATTAGTGAGATTTAATTAAAAAGAATTTTTTTTTAATGTTTATTTTTGAGACAGAGAGAGACAGAGCGTCAATGGGGGAGGGTCAGAGAGAGAGAGAGAGAGAGAGACACAGAATCTGAAGCAGACTACAGGCTCTGAGCTGTCAGCAGAGAGCCCGACACGGGGCTCGAACCCACAGACTATGAGATCATGACCTGAGCCGAAGTTGGATGCTCAACCGACTGAGCCACCCAGGTGCCCCAGTGAGATTTAATTTTTAAAAGTGATTCTCGGTCACTGGAATCTCTTCTCAGAATTTTGTTCATATTCTTAGCCCATTCTTCTTGGAAAGTTTTACTAAAAATTGTTTTTATTGAGGTGAAATTTCACATAAAATAAAATTAGCTATTTTTAAATGTACAATCCAGTGGCATTTCGTACACGCACAGTGTTGTGTCACAATCACCTCTCTCCAGTCACACACAATTCCATCATCCCAAAAGAAAGCTCTGTACCCATTAAGGGGTCACTTTCAGGACGTTCTGTGTTGATCTCTTTGACTAGAAGAAGCTCATGAGAAATTAAAGATATCAACCTTTTTTAGATTGGTTGTAAATATTTCCCTCAGCTTATCGTTTAACTTAAAAATTATAAAGTATGTGCAAATTTTAAACTTATAATCAAGTTAAGATTTTCCAATAAGACTTTTAGCTCTTCTTTATCTTAAGATCAGATAAATATTCATGTATATGGTCTCCGAGTTAGTTTAAGGTTTTTAAAAAAAAATTTTTTTTTTTTTTACGTTTATTTATTTTTGAGAGACAGAGACTGAGCACAAGGAGGGGAGGGGCAGAGAGGGAGGGAGGCACAGAGTCCAAAGCAGGCTCCAGGCTCTGAGCTGTCAGCACAGAGACTGACGTGGGACTTGAACTCACAAACCATGAGATCATGACCTGAGCCCGAAGCTGGACACTCAACCGACTGAGCCACCCAGGCGCTCCAGTTTATGTTTTTTTTTAACTCCTTTTTCTTATTGTTTTACATTTGACTTTTGAATTCATTTGTGTAACTTATTTTAGAAGAACATTATTGATTTTCTGACAGGAGCACTTTAGAGGGAAAAGATGATTATTGGTTCTTACTTTATTTTTGTGGCAAAATACACATAATGTAAAAGTGACCATTTTACCCATTTCCAAGGGCATAATTCTGTGACATGAAGTATATTCACACTCCTGTGCAGCCATGTCCAGACTGTCCATCTGTAGAACCTTTTCACTTCCCAAACCAAAAGTGTACCCATTAAACACTAACCCCCTGTATCTTCCTCCCTGGGCCCTGGAGTTACCATCATTCTAGTTCCTGCCGGAAGAGTTTTGTTTGTTTTTTTTTTGAGCAAGATAGTACCAAATCAGATGAAAACCGAACTCATTGTTAAATTTTGTGCCTCTGAAGGAAGAACTTCAAAACGAATTTCTCCTCCTCACTTGCCTTGTTCAATTTTGCTGTTCACAAAGCTCAAGATAAAACATGAGGGCAATCTCACAACAGGATGACTCTCACGTACCTGCATAACATCTGCAGGCTTGTTGATGTGTTCTTTAAAGACCAAGATGGTGGGGGTGTAGACATTGACATTGTATTGCCTTGTTATCTCTTCTGCCCCTCTCAAGCCGACGTGTACGTATCCAAATGACAAGTAATCCTTGTATGCAAAAGCGGTCAACTGTTAGGGTGCAACAGAGAGGAAGAAATTAAGTTGAGGGCACGGAACCACATGCACCACGCGTGACTCATTCATACCAGCGGCTGACAAATGTTAGCTTGTATAGCCCCACTCAGGCTGCTGGACCCTGGTGCACTCGGAGGAATTCTATGGTGTTCCACGCATGCAAACTGTACCAACAAAGCCAAACACAGGGATTTCTGTGTGTGTGTGTGTGTGTGTGTGTGTGTGTGTGTGTACAAAGAGAGGAAAATATTCATTTTACTGAGAACTGCACTGGGTCGGAGGTGTGGAGTGTTTGAGGCATTACCTCAACCCTGTACGATGGCAGTGACTGGGCCCAAGGTCAAGGGGGACACTCTCCTCTCGCATCTCAGGTCCCAGCGCTAGCCAGAGGTGTGCCGCAAGTGCAGGACCACAGGGTGTCACTCAGGGGGCGGGTCCGGGTCCAGACAGGCTTCAAGGGAATCACACAGTCACCCCGGGGGTCGGTTCTACAACCTAAGTTTCAATGTCTTGGTCTATAAAACACGGATGGTCTCTGTATCGCTGGGCTCTTCTGAGGATTAAATACTGGCACGTGTGGGGAAGGCACACTAGCGCAGTAAGGCCACCCATAGGTGCTCCGTGTATGGTGGTTAATGCCCATTTCTGGTCTTTATAAACGCTTCTTTTTGGATCAGCTCTTACTCGCGGGAAGGGCAAGCACCTTGCAAGTTCACTGCACCAACAGAAGAGCAAACGTTCCCCCGGCACGCAAAATACCTTGTACAGCAGTGGTACGACGGGCATTTGGTCAAACAGGAGGACGTGAGGTTTATTGTCTTGCTGCCAGCCAGAGAGGAATCGGACATAATTTTTATTTGTTACCTTAAGTTGAAAAGAGGATGTCAGTTTCAGTATTTGGTTCTCAACAGCCGCATTGTAAGGCAGTCAGGAGATCGTGAGACAAAAATCACGTATGCGTAAAAGATTGTTTTGTAAAAAATAAATGCAGACGATGAGTCTTTTGTCTTTCTTTGACTAAAATGCTTTAAAAGAACAGAGTTATCGATTTCGTGTTTTCAGGTGCCCCACTCTGACAGACTGAAATTGTATCTTTTCTGAAACAATTGCTGAGTACGCTATAAAAAAAAAATCGAACTTTCGAATTTTAGACTGTGCTTCGTAATCTATTAACCTGCGGAAGATAGTGCAATGATTGCTCCTTCAAAATGGCTTTTGAAAAAACAAGTGGGCCCACTCAGTCTATATGTTACACGATTTCATTCATTACCATCCGATTTGCTACTTTTGTGCTTCCCTGTTTATGCCTTAAATAATCCTACCGAGAGAAGAAGAAACATGAATAAATTAAAATTCTACCTAGAAACTTTTCATAGTTAAAAAAAGATTTATCTTTCCATTCTGCTTCCAGAATGATCTATATTAAACCTCAGTCTGGGCACTTCACTCTCTGCTCAGCCCCCTTCAATGGCTCCAGCCAAGGCCCAAGTAACTCAAAGGGGTAGCCAGGCCCTCGGAAGTCCTCGAGATTCCTGTTAATGCCTCTCATCTGGTCCTCTCCTGCTCACTAGTGACTGCTTCATCCAGAGCAGGCTGTTGCCTGTCCCAGACCTCCTGGGGCCTGGAACTCATTCCCTACCACCTCTCCGCCTCCCTTGGCAAACTCTGGCCAGGAAGCCATTCCCAGCTCTCAAGGACAGGCTCTTAGCATATCAGACGGAAATAATCACCCACTAGACTGGGAGCTCCTTGAAAAGTATCCACTTACAGTGCTTGGCATAGAATAGGTATTTCATAAACGTTTGAGGACCCATTTGAACAACCTGTGATTGTTCAAAATTCCCTTTGACAATTTCCTTTCACACTAACTCCAATGAATATTTCTTCTGTGGATAACGATGCTGGCGGGGTAGTCTATGAATAGTGCATGTGGAAACAGGATGCAAATGTTGGTATGTTCACTCTCCCTGGTATATAGTTAAAGGACTGAATCACTTAAAGCAAACAAGAATCCTGTTCTTGGGGTGCCCGGGTGGCTCAGGCGGTTGAGTGTCCGACTTCAGCTCAGATCATGATCTCACGGTTTGTGAGTTCGAGCCCTTCATCGGGCTCACTACGGTCAGCGCAGAGCCTGCTTTGAATCCTCTGTCCCCCTCTCTCATGGCCCCTCCCCTGCTCATTCTCTCTCTTTCTCTCTCAAAAATAAATAAAACATTTAAAAAATATATAAACTTAACGCATTAATTAAAACAAAAAAATCCTGTTCTAGTTCCTTTGATCCCTAACCTCAGACACTGGGGGAAAGAATGCTTAGGTATAAAAAATCGTAAACTAGTATGAGCTCTTTGTGCCTGGCTTTTTTAGCTCAACCCTTTGTTTGTGAAATTATTCATATCGTTGCATTACTCTAAGTTCTGAAAGTTCCAAAAATACTATTTGATTTTGTGGAATCTTGCGTATTCCATAGATGTGATTAAGTACGTAACCAAACGTGAGGTGCCTCCTTAGAGCAGTAGGCCGCACGTCAGTGTCATGTAACCAAATGTAATGCAATTTGAATACTTTCATAGACAAATACCTTCAAATTCACCAGTCAGAAAGAAATCCCTCATCCTACGTTGTGATCTGAGTTTTGCTCACAAAAAGAGAGCCCCTGTCGTTTTAGGCTCGGATCCCCACCTCTGTGTATATGTGCACAGTGGTTACTAACAGGCAGGGATTCGTTCGGTTGTTCTACTTTGTTTCGATTTTCAGTCTCCTACTGACTTCATTGAAATGATTTCGGGTGAACGATTAATTAAGTAAGATATGTCTTGCCCTGTTCGAAACGACACTCAGGCCTGAGAGGACTGCGGACAAGAGTTTGGGACAGCCAGGGGTCCCGGTACCTCGTAAATTTCTTCTCCGCTGGGTACTTACTTTCTCCACCAAGTTCCCTGGAAGAAGACTTTCTACAAACTGTCGTAGGTTCTCACGGACGACTGCATTATGGAAGAAGGAGATCTTCCCATTTATGATTCCCAGGATGGAGGGTGTGCTGTGTGCTCCCAGGTGATGGGCCAGGCGTCTCTCGTACCCAGCGTGGACCACGCCGATTCCTACACCTGGAAAGCAGGGAAGACTTGCATGAAGCCTTTTATAACCCCCCACCCGCGCCGTGGTGGATGAAGAAAGGCTGGTGCTTTTCTGGTGTGCAATCGAAACCCATCCTGACCCAGCAGGGGACGATATCTTTCCCAATAGGTTGTCTGTCAATGTTTTCGTTGCTGACATTCTAAATCGGTTCAGTTTTTCTGCAGAATAATCTGGCAGTACTTAAGAGCGACAAGTCTTTCTTTTAGTCTGTTATTCCGAATTTTGGGAGTAGAACATGAGAAAATACTTGAGAAGAAAAGAAAGCCATCTGCTCCCCGTGTTCCTATGCACAAAGAAAAAAACCTGTGAACAATCCAGGGATTCAACAACTCGGTAATGGTTGGAAAAAATAATTACGATTTATCGATCGAAGTCATGGTCTTCTCGCTCTTGAGAGCAAATCTCCCTGTCCTATAAGTTACTTTGTAGAGATATTAGGAAGTGCACATTCTCAAAAGGAAAAAGAAATTTAGGTAAAATCACTCGGAAGCCCAATCCCGTTACCTGCCGCTACTATTTTGGTATCTCTCTGTGCCTTTTCTTCCCCAAACATCTCTATATAAAATAAAATAGAAGCATCTGACACTCATTGCACTTAATAGTTGAATAATTTTCCTCGCTCCTCCATCAGCCGATACGTTTGGAGCGCTCTGCGAACACTGAGGTACGTGAAGTATTAATAGCCAGCAAAGGCACGCGGCTTCTCTTGGATGCCCAGCAGACTTCTCAAGCTTGACACTTCCCCAACCCACCTCCTGATCTCCTCCCCCAGGCCTGTCCCACGCAGGCCTCCCCTGGTCACGGACGGGGCCCCTCCCTTCCTGTTACTCGGACGGAAGATGGGAGCCATTTTCCACCTCTTGCCTCTCACACCCCACGTCCAATCTGTCGGCAAGTCCTGCTGGTTTCGTTTTCAAAATATACCAGGGATCTGACTGTTTTTCTCCGTCTTCTTTAGGCTCTCCTCTCTGAGACATCAGCTCTCCTCCCCCGTGGCTGCAATACCCTCCTAATGGCCTTGTTTCTCCCGGTCTGCCTGCGGTCTACTCTCAACGTACTGGCCGGACCATCCCTTCGAACACACAAACGTGGATCAGGGCGCTCCTCTGCCCAAACCCTGCAAACACTTCCCGTTTCACTCAGAATAAAAGCCCGTCTTCACAAAGGCCGACAAGACCCTCTGTGATTTGGTCCCCGGTTCCCTTCTGCCTCCTTCCCCTCCTCCCCCCCCCCCACTCACCTTGCTCCAGCGCCCAGCATCCTTCTCTTCCTTAAACACACGGGCATGTTCCTGCCTTAGGGCCTTGGCACTGGCTCTCCCTTCTGCCTGGAGCGTGTACCTCCCTGACCTCTGTGCGGCTGACTCCTTCGCCAGCTGCAGGCCCTTCCCAACGAGGCCCACTTGGCTACCATGTTTGAAACAATACTCCCCCCTCTTGGGATCCCCCTCGACCTGCTCACTTTCCCTTTTCCCGTAGCACTTCCCACCTTCCAACGTATCACACACTTTCCTTTCTCTGTCGATTGTTTGTTGTACATCTGCCCCTGCTAGGATGTGAGGCGGGGATCTTGGTTCGGTCACTGGTGTATCCAAGCAGCAGATCGGAGCATGGCACACAGCAGGAGCTCACTGAAACTGGGACATCAATCTTTCCGGTTTTTTGTTTTTTAAATTAAAAAAAAATTTAACATATACTTAGAGAGCGAGCGAGCGCACGCGTGCAAGAGGGGGAGGGACAGAGAGAGAGACACAGAATCCAAAGCAGGCTTCAGGCTCCTAGCTGTCAGCACAGAGCTTGACGCAGGGCTCGAGCTCATGAACTGTGAGAGCATGACCTGAGCCGAAGTCGGATGCTCAACTGACTGAGCCACCCAGGCACCCCTAAGTTTTTAAGATTTTTAAGTAGGTTCCATGTCCAGTGTGGAGCCCGATGTGGGGCTTGAACTCACGACACTTCGATTAAGACCTGAGCTGAGATCAAGAGTCGGATGCTTAACAAACTGAGCCACCAAGGCGCCCCCATTAATCTATTTGAATACTGAAACTGCTTTTGGCTTTCACTATTACCAGAGTATTCTGATGGGCATCCTTGTATGTCTTTGTGTACATATCTTTGTGCACTTGTGTGATTTCCTAGTTAAATTCCAAAAACGGAATTACTAGGTAAACGGCGGGGCTCACAAGCTTCACACATTACAATTGCTGAGCAGACTGAACACGTCTATTTGCAGGTGACCTGACAGTGACCCTTGGAGTATCTCAAGGGCAGGAAAGGAGGAACCTTGAACATCACATAGTCCACCCCTCATTTCACAGACAAAGTGAGCTTCAGAGAGATTACGTGATCCTGGCTGGCAGAGCTGGTAACACTGTAGAGCAAGAATCCGAACTGGATGGTCTAGAGCCAAGTCTCGTACATTGGGCCACACTAGAGGCATTACAAATACCGATGGAATAATGTCAGTGAGTGGAAGTGCATATAAGATTCTGTGAGAAGAACAAGAATATAGCGGCACACACACTGAGAGGTTTGGTTTTCTGTGAAGTCAGGAAGAGACATCACCTAGGGAGGTCGAGCGGCAACACAGCAAAGGCCCAGGGGCGGAATGACCATGTCCTGAACCCTTTCTTTTCTTTAATTTTTTTTTTTTTATTTGATGCTTATTTATTTTTGAGACATAGAGAGACAGAGCATGAACGGGGGAGGGTCAGAGAGAGAGGGAGACACAGAATCTGAAACAGGCTCCAAGCTGTCAGCACAGAGCCCGATACGGGGCTCGAACTCACGGAGTGTGAGATCATGACCTGAGCCGAAGTCGGTCGCCCAACCGACTGAGCCACCCAGGTGCCCCATGAACCCTTTCTAAGTTAGGCAGCGTGGCCAAAGCTTTATAGACGTTTTCACTTTTCATACAAATATCCTGAGTGGTCAGTGTAGTTGCCTTCATGGATGAGGACCGCAGTGCCTGGAGAGGCTGAGGACAACGGACCTGGCATTACAGTTAGCGTGCAGTGGAACTAGGACTTGAACCCAGGCCTGGCTGCTGCCTGGCTTGGAAGAACGACCTCTTCTATCCTAGGTTCCAAATACTGGAGGCATCAATTTCTTAGAGTCGGGCTCACCCTAAACCATCTCCTATAGACCAGACGCCAATTTATTATACAATCCCAGGCGGTACGCTCAGGTAACTGCGCCATTCCGGGTGTCCTCTACAGGGTTTTGGGACACCCGGGGGGACCAGAATCAGTAATCAGAAAGGTGGCTGGTGGGCCTGGAGTCAGGATGAGGGATGCAGGCAGCCCTGGAGAGCAAAGGGAAACCGGAAAGATCTTCAGAGCCTGCTGTTCCCTCTACTCTTGCCCCAGGTATCCCTGAAGCTCGCAGTCACACCCCTTGTGCGTTGCCTCCTCAGCAAGGCGTGTCCTGTCTGGCCAGCTTCAGCCTGTCACCTCGCCCTGGCCTTCTCTAGTACCTGCCCTGCTCACCACGCCGTTGCCCTTTGATGGACTCGGTTTCATTTAGTTGTGTGCAGTCACTAGAACACAGCTCTATGAGTACAGGGACTTTTGCTTATTTGGTTTACTGCTGCATCCAGTTCCTGGCACTTACTAGGTACTCGATATTTACTGTTTAAAAAATGCTTTTATTTATTTTTGAGAGAGGGAAAGAGACAGAGTGCCATCAGGGGAGGGGCAGAGAGAGGGGGAGACCCAGCATCCGAAGCGGGCTCCAGGCTCCGAGCTGTCAGCACAAAGCCCGACATGGGGCTCGAACTCACGAGCCGTGAGATCATGACCTGAGCTGAAGTCGGACGCTCAACCGACTGAGCCACCCAGGCGCCCCAGAAGGTACTCGATTTTTAAAACAGAAACCAGTGAATTCAAAAATCAGTCAGATCCAGATTCAAGGCCCAGCTCTGCTCCCCACGAGCTGTGTAACTTGAGGCAAGTCATTTAACCCCTCTGCCCCGGTTTCCTCATTTGTAAAACGGAGGGAAGTTGTTCGGTCAGGACTAAATGACACAACAAAAAATGACCTAATCCAGAGCCTTGAACACAGTGGGTCCCTAATTAATTACAACTGCTCTTATGAAGTATTATTCCATCCCGACCATGGTGAAGCCCGAGACCATCTCTGTGTGGTGCCTCGAGGAGAAGGTCTCCTCCTGCAGAGTACGATAAACGCGTCAACCTTTGCTCTTCATGCCCTCCTTCCCCTACCTTTCCTGCACTCCCATCAGTACGGCTTTTTTCCCAGTTAAAATAGAACACAAGTGATTAGGTTTCATTTCTTTTACTTAAATTACCGTTGGGTCTTTACATAAATCATATTAACTGTAAGTGTTTCGGGGGCCCCTGGGTGGCCTGTTTGGTTAAGCATCTGCCTCTTGGTTTCGGCTCAGGTCATGGTCTCACGGTTTATGAGATCGAGGCCTGGGTGGGCTGGGCTCTGTGCTGACAGGGCAGAGCCTGCGTGGGATTCTCTCTCTGACCCTTCCCGGCTCATGCTCTCTCTTTCTCTCTCTCTCTCCCCTTCAAATTAAATAAATAAACATTAAAAAAAATACAAGTGTTTCCACATTTATAAAGGCTACTTCCTTGGATTGTTTCTACAAAGGACCTCAATTCTTACCATCATAATCCCATTTCTAAATTCTGGAGGTATTTTACTTCTCTCCTATAGATTAACTAGCATAAGGACTGGAAAAGAATAAAGAATGATAAATATTTTGTGTTTCAATTCATGGTATTTTTCCTCCTGAGAAGATATTGAATAAGAATTCAGATCTAGGGCGCCTGGGTGGCTCAGTCGGTTGGGTGTCTGACTTCGGCTCAGGTCATGATCTCATGGTTTGTGAATTCGAGCCCCGCGTCGGGCTCTGTGCTGCCAGCTCAGAGCCTGGAGCCTGCTTCGGATTCTGTGTCTCCCTCTCTCTCTGCCCCTCCCCTGCTCATGCTCTGTCTCTC